CCGCTACCCCATCATGGACGTGGCCTATCACTGTTACCCCAACGGGCGGCGCTCTGACGGCCTGGCCTCAAAGGGAGCGCTGTTTCTTAAGGTAGGCAGCCACGGGTAGGGAGATGGGCCACAGCCAGGGGGTCCTCGCTCTCTTGGAGGGCTGGGGGCAGACGAGGCCTTCACGGAGCTGAACTGGTGGGCACCAGCGCTGGGACAAGGGCCAAGGCTCCGAGCTCAGATCTGGCTGGGTGATCCTGAGCAAGTTCCTCAGATCTGAGCCACCATTTCCCCATCTGTAAAGTGGGAGCAACCTAGTTGGTGGTGGGTGAGCAGGAGCAGTGATAAGCTCAGTTAAGGAGCAGATGTGCACACGAGGCAGGGAGACCAACACAGACCGATGGCTGCAGGTGGGCCTGCAGGGCTCTCTGGTCCCAGGCCGATCACCAACCCTGCTCAGGCCACCAGCCCCACTGGCCAGATACACCCTCCCTCCGGGCTGTCACACAAGCTGCTACTCCAGGCACTGTGCCCGCCAGCCCAAGGCTTTGCTTCCATAGTCACTAATTAAAGTGAATCATAATTATTTCTGCTAATTTGGATGCAATTGGAGGAGTTTTTAGACCATGGTAATTTGGTCATTATGCATTATCTTCTACTGAGCCTGACACACTCAGAGTGTCAACTTTTTGTTCCCTGTGCAAAAGCTGCTCTTGGTGCTTCTGGAGTTTTCTGCAGCATCGCTGGGCCAGTGATATTGAACAGGGCTTTCTGTCCCCAGAGGCAGCAGCTGCTGTGGCTGTGGATTCTTTCCTATTTTCCTCAAGACTTCTCAGTTGTAGAAGGGGGTCTGTGGGTGTGGGTTTTGGGGGACCTAGTGTGGCTAATGCAGAAGCCCAAGCATGGTGAGGCTCTGTCCCAGGCCTCAGCTCTAACCATGCTCAGCCTGTCCAGAAAGTACCAGGGTCCCTACCCTAGGGTGCTCAATGGTCCCTGCGTGGCTCTACAGGCCCAGAGTTGGAGTTCCAGCTCTCCGTTCACAGCCTGAAATGCTGAATTGAATGAACTCCTCTTACAGGAGAGCCAACCTCCCATTTTGGCATATGGTTCATCAATGTTCTCTTCCACGGATGTATTTTTGTCTCGGCAGCCACAGTGACTTTCTGGGGAAGGAGGGGACCTGTTGTCAGGCTCAGAGGGAGAGTGCACCCTCTCCCTCCTGCCCACCCTACTACAGATGGCTCAGAGACCAGGGCCCCTCCACCCCGCCCCAGCCCACACACTCCCTCCTCCTCTTCCTCCACCGGCAGCCCGACCACCATGCCCACCGGGGGCCCAGCAGTCTCTGCTGCAGGCTCTCCCCCTACCTCGGGACCTTTCTTCCAGGCTCTTTGCTGCCTGCTCATCCTTTAAATGCTGGTACTTCCCTACCTCCTGGGTTTAAAGCTGGTCTGCAGATAGGTTTAATTTGGTCCACACCATTAAAAAATGTCTTGTCTTGCCCAACATTCAAAAGCCAAGATATTGCAGGTGAAACCCAGTTCGCAACTTCTCTTCCCACCTCAGCAGATGAGGCAGCACCAGGCCTGCTGCCTTCTGCCCAGCTCTCAGCTGAGTCTCCAAAGCAGGGTGACCCCAGTTGGTCATTTCCAAGTGGTCACCGCAGCAGGCCCCACACACCTGCCCTGGGAAGTGACTCTGAAGCCTCCATTTCTGCACTTCCTGAGTACTCCAGGTTTGTCCCAGCCCAGTCTCTCCCCTGAGCTCCCAGCTGTCTGGCTGCCCCCAGATATAGTCTCTTTCACTCCCAAGTGGTCATCTTCCCTGGTCTCCCCACCTCACCCCCCAATTCCCATCATCCCTCATCCAGAAGAGCCCGCTTTGACTCCTTTCTGTGCCCCGAGCCCAGCCAGTCCACCCAGGATCCTATGTCACTTCCCAAATATATCCAGGTGCCCCCCGCCATTCCCAGCTGCATTGCTGTGGCCCAGGCCACAATTCCTCTACGTCAGCTCAGCTGTATTTTTGGCTGTCCTTCCCTTCTAACCTGTCCTCCTCCCATCCCGGGTCTGAATTCTGTTACCTGCTTCCCACTGCCTCCCCCCAGGTCCCCACCCTCGGCCGGGCTGTCTTCCAACTGCACCCGCCAGGGTCCTCCATGTGCCTGGCTGCCTGCCCCCTGCCCTGCCCTGGGGTTGGCGGCACCACCTCTGTGGAGCTCTCCTCAGAGGCCATCCAGCCTAGGCCGGCTTTCCCTTCATGGGTTCCTCAGCCCTTGTCCCCACGCGTCTTGTGGCCTATCCCTCCCATCTGATGGAATCCTGAGAGCCGAACCGGTCGTGCCCAGCACAAAACAGCCCCAGCTTGTCTCTGTCAGGGAGTGTGCCTGCTTCTCCTGTGTGGAGGAGTGAAATAGATGAGCTTTCAGGAGGCAGGCCAGCCCAGGAAGGGGTCTGGGGGCTGTAGGGATGCTGCCCAGGTTCCCTTCCTGGCAGGGCCGCCCTGGCCAGCCCCACCCTCCCGAAGTTAATCGGGGTGCTTCTGACCCTTGAGGAAGATGTGTTTTCCTGCTAGCAGGATACCCCATGAAGGAAGGGACTGGAATCACTCTGCCTCATCTATGAAAGGGCCTGATTCTGGGCCCTTCTCTGTTGACAGTCTTTGCCCAATAGGACTAAAAGGCACAACCTCTCAGTGTGATTGTTTGTTTTTGCAAAAGAAACATAAGCCTCTGCAGCTCCCATGGACTTGAGCCAGGAATCAATAAGTCCCAGCACATAATAAAGAGGATCTTGGCGAGCTCACACAGCTGATTAAGAACAGGGCAGTGGGTGAGGGGCTGACACACCAAGGCTGCGGATGAAAAGCCTGGCTGTCCCCAGGAGCTTGGACTGCAGCATGAGTAGGGGGAGAAGCTGGGTGGGAGGCAGCCAACATCTGATTTGAACTAACTTCAGCCTTCAGAGGCTTGTGGCCCAGGCCAGTTATGGTAAAATTTGAGTCCCATCCTCATAGTCGTTGTCCGCCTCTAACAAGGTGGCGTCCATGAAGCACTGGCATGAGTGCTCACCGTGTCATTATTATTATTGAGGAGGGAACAGACTCGGTGCCTGAGGAATATGGGGGCAGCAGCACCATTGTGTGGCCTGTGGGGGCACTGAGGTTTTAAATCTCTGTTGTGTTTTTGCAACAGGGCACATTCAATGGTATGTGTCTTTCCGGGCCATTCCAGGGGCAGAGGTACTGTAAGGCCAAAGTTTGGGTCTGGATTATGGGCAAGAAGTGAATGGTCAATATGTGAGTTTATAAACAGCCCCAAATCCAGGCTGTACAGTCCATTATCAAGTAACCAGACATGCATCTCCCTGGGCTGGGCAAGATGTGCATCCATCCAGGCTGGGAAAGGGGGTGAACAGCTGTAGAAAGCCAAGGGTGTTTGGTGATGCCAGAGTCCACACAGAGGACAATAATGCCAACCTGATTTCAGCAACAAAAAGAAAATTGGAAGCCTCCCAAGGCTCTCAGAGCAGCGAGTCCAGGCCTCTCTGAGCTGGAGGACCGACAGGTCACGCTCGGCAGATGTCAGGCACATCCATTTGCTGCACGGCTGTCAGTGAAGAACAGGCCTCTACGGTCCCATCCCTGGAGACTGTTGGGGGTCCTTGCTCTTGTCATCACTGAAAACCCAGTCTGTTACAGATTAGCAACGTCTGGGGACAACAGCGGATGCCCAGGTGGAGGAGAGCCTAGAGAGGAAGAGGATGAGGAGCCAACCAGAGGCCTCTGGGGAGAGGTGCCCACAGACGGTCCCAGGGAGCATGCCTGCGGGGCCTCTCCTGCCACGGTCTCCAGCAGCTATGCTGTGGCCAAGGATCTGGGACAGCCAGCAGCCAGGGCTGCCATCCCTCACCTTCCCTACCACAGCCCGACACGGCTCAGGCTTGCAGCAGCATCACCTATTCAGTTTTCTGATGCATGATTGTGATGCTTGGTTGCATTACAGCCACCTGCCAGGGTCATCTGCGCTTGGTCAGGGAGTCAGGGAGGAGCCTCCAGCTCACCTCTCTGGACCCAGAGACTGAGCAGGAGGTGAAGACTGGGGTCTGGGGCGCATGGAGTATGAAGAGGCCACTGTGGAGGAAGGATGACTGGACTCAAGATGGAGGCTGTGGGCACCTGAGCCGGGCCCATGACACAGGTGCCACGGAGATACAGGCTACAGCGGTCATCCCAGATTGGGGGACTAACAGGGACCACAGCTAAAAAGCAGATGACGTGACTTCATGACTTCTCATGAAGGCAGAGCCTAGAGAGAGAGGGCAGAGGGCAGGTCCAAGGCCCCTCACAATGGAGGGCAGGCGGCAAGCTGTGCAACTGGGCCACAGCCCAGAGGGGAGCCCAACTCATACCTCAGAGGGGTGGACTTCAGGGGTGATCAGGTAGAGGGTGTGACTGAGGGAAGGGAAGAGCCACCAGACAAGAGGGGACAAGGAACTGAGGGGCTGGCATGTGACAGTCATCCATGTAGACGCTCTGGCGACGGCAGAGGCTTGGGGAGGAAATCTGCTTCTGAGTTGGTCCTGTAAAGCTGCGGGAGCTGTCAGCGCACTCACTGTGCCAGCGGCTGGCATCTCTACACAGCTGCCTTCTGCACCGGCCAGAAGCTCCTGGAAGCAGGACGTGTGCTGTTCCTCCTTGAGCCCCGTCTAGCCAGGAGCCTACGGAGCTGGGCCTGCCCCCAAGGGCTTTGTCACTGACACCTCGCCTCCTCTCCATCAGGTGCAGGTGGGAAGCACACCTCAGGACCAAAGAATCGTCGGGTACATCTCCTGCACACACCTGCACGCCTTGGAAGGTAGGTGGGGAGTCTGCCCCCAGCAGGCTGGGGCGGCACCGGGCTGGCTGGGCTCGGGCTGCAGCTTCATCTTCTGGTCTGCGGTTCTGCCCCCACAGAGGACAGCGCCATCCGGTGTGAGCAGCTGGACCTGCTTCAGGACTGGTTGGCTGATTTCCGAAAATCTACCTCCTCGTCCAGCACAGCCAACCCTGAGGAGCTGGTGGCGTTTGACGTCATCTGCGGAGATTTTAACTTTGACAACTGCTCATCCGGTGAGGCCGTGGTCCTCCCCATTCAGCTGGCTTCTGGGGAGGGCAAGGGCTCCGGTCAGCTGGAAAGCCTTGGCCTGAGGAGCTCTCTCATGAGCACGTGGGTGGGATATAAGCAAGACAGTGCCATCTCTGTCCCCAAACTCTGCCCAGAGCACTCAGAGGCCTCCTTGCTGGTCACCAAGTCTACACCCATCTCTGTACCAGACATACTTCTAACAGCTGTTCATGGGCCAACTATTTCATTTAAGTCTCATTATACCCTAAGGGTATATCCACATGTGGGCCCTATCCACATGATGTGGAAGACAAAGCTGAGGCCTGGAGAGGCTGAGTGACTAGTCTAAATTCACACAGCAAATTAGTGGTTGAACTGGGATTAGAATCCTGGCAGTTATGCTTTAAACCCTTAGGCTAAAAGACTAAAATGTTCATCGAGGGTGAACTTTTAAATAACTGATTTAAGTAACTGGTCTGTGAATTCATCAGATGATCATGTTGATCCCAAGAACCTCCTGAGAATTTGGGCAGCCCTGAGCCTCCCTTGGCACAAGGAGCCGAGTGTGAGGCCCCCACCCCCCACCTACCCACACACTGTCTCCTGAGCTCCTTCTACACCAGCCCCAGCCCCAGGAGAAACTGGGGCTGGGTGGGCAGCATGGGGTCTGCGAGCTTGGGCCCTAGCCCTCAGTGAAGTCAGGAAACCTGAAGGTCCCACCTGGAGCACAGGATGGTGCCCTCACCTGGTGGCAGCTGTGTCTATCTGTTCTTGACTAGGGAGCTGACAATGGTGGCAATTCCAGGGTGTGCAGGGAGAATGGTGCCCACCCTGGAACACATAGCCTCCCACTGCAGCCCTGTGCTCCCCTCAGAGTCAACATGCCTGAGGTCAGCTGCAAATGCTGGAGCTCCAGGATCTTCCTGAGTCAGGGTGGGGACCCAGCACACACAGGAAGAGCCTGTTGGGAGGGGGTCCCCCCCTGGTCAGGCCCCACAAGGTGCCCTATTCTTCCTCCCTGGAGGCCTTGAAAGGCCCTTCTGGCTCCAGGGTTGGCAGGACCAACCAGAATCCAGGGCAGGTCACCACCCCCTCTGATCCCTGTGGGGTCACTCCTCATTCAGCCTGGGCACCCAGGTCTGTGAAGGGCAGGAGTCCTGGCCAGGGTGGCATCAGTCAGCCCCCAGCAGGGCTTGTCACAGGATCTGGGAAGGCCTGGAGATCACTGTCCCCTGGATCCCAAGAGGGACAGTGACTACTATCCTTAGACAGAAGGACAGCTGAAATCAGTGGGGGTATTCCCAAGGACACAGAAAACCAGGGACTCACGGGCCCTTCTCTCTGGGACCATAAACCTCACCCAGAGTCAGTTACCTGAGGGACAGGGACCTGGCGGCCTCTGGTCAGAATACCTTGAGGCGGGCAGCCTCCAGACTGGGCCAGACACTCTGGGCCCCACAGCATCCCCCTCTCCCTCCCACCCTCCAGATGACAAGCTGGAGCAGCAGCACTCCTTGTTTACACACTACAAGGACCCCTGCCGCCTGGGGCCTGGGGAGGAGAAGCCCTGGGCCATTGGTGAGCTGGGGCTGGGGCAGGGGTTGGGGCCGGGAGCTGAGGGGGATGGGGGAGGAGCACTGCCAAGGTCTGAGCCCACTGTGCTGGGACCTGACACTGTACCAAGGCTGGGCTCCCCACAGGCCTTCCAGGGAGACTCCCAGGACCTGCCCCCAAGACCCCACTGCTGGGGGACACTGGGCTGCCCAGGCCAGCAGAAGCCCTAGCCTGCCCTCTGCCCCAGGGAGGCAGCCTCCTTGAGGCTGGCTGGGCCCTGCCCACAGTGACCACTCTCACCCACCATCCCCAGGCACCCTGCTGGACACGGACAACCTCTACGACGAGGAAGTGTGCACCCCGGACAATTTGCAAAAGTAAGCACCCAGCACCCATTCCGCAGCAGGCGGGTGGGCGTGTCAGGTCCCAGGCTGGCTGCCAGGTCTGGGATGAGCGTGGAGCCCTGACTCAGGTATGGAGAGTCAGGGCAGACAGAAAACACAGCTCTGTGGGAAGGACACCTGTAGGAGCCCCGGGGACTGAAGCTGGGGCAGGTGGAGGCCGTGCCTGCCCTTGTGCCCCAGGGCTGGCCTTACCGAGGAGAAGCCTTCGAGGAGACAGAGGTCCAGAGGTGGTTTCCTGGACCAGCCAAGGGCTGCCAAGGGCCCTATAGAAGAGCCCTGGGGATGGCATCTGCTCCAGGGAGCCCAGGAGCTGGTAGCCACCAACTAGACAAAAATACAAGCGGAATCATTTCAGAGTAGAGACAGTTCCTTCCCAGCCAAACTTCATTCTTGAACCCAATGTGACTTCCATAAAGGACATACTTGAGAGCCTGGCAGCAGAATCAATTTATAATTCACAGACCAAGACTGCACAGAGTCATGGCAATGGCTCCTTGCAGCTAATTTGAGCCAATTAATTAGATTATAGACTAAATTCAAAACATCATCCTATACTGAGAAAATTATCTTTTTATGAGATGATTAAAAAATGACTATCAGTAACTCTTAGATCATTGATGCTGGAGTTAATTATCAAAGGCAAAGGACAGTAATAGATTACATTTCTGAGATGTAACAATGTTGTGTATGTCATTAGGGTATTTATCTCAAGACTGATAAAGACCTTGTAGAAACCCAGGTTTACCGGCTGTGCCTGCCCTGTCCGGGTGCCCTTCCATCTGGCCAGCACCGGCAGGCCCCAGCACCCAGCACTGTCTCTCGGTGGCTGTGCCTCCCACCCCGACTTCAGCCTCCTGCACCTGCCTCTGCAGGGTCTCTGAAGGCTCCTCCCCCCTGGTGCTCAGGCTCCGGAGGAGACCTGGCAGAAGGAGAGAGCAGTTGGTCAGAAGACCTGGATTCGGGGTGTAACACCCCATACGAGTACCCTGCCCTCTGCAGAACTGGGGCCAGTCCTTACACACACACGTTTCCTTCCTCTGGGAAGTGGGATGAGAACTACATCCCACGTTGTTTCCTTCTTGGCATACCTGGTCCCAAAAGGGTCCTGGGGCCCATGGCCATCATTTCTTAATGGCAGAGAAAGAAATGGAGGCTAGAGGTTTGGTGGCACAGCTGCTCAGGGACAGACTGACAGGAGTTCAATCCTGGGTTGGGGCCGGTGCTCTCCTGACTCCCCCAGCCCCCAGCTGACCCAAAACAAGTCCTGGGGGAACTGGGGACTTACAGGAGAGAAGGGTCCCTGAGACTCACTGCAAAAAACAAGTTCCCCCGAGCAGGCTCCTACCAGCTTGGAGCAGAACCCCATTCTGCAGTGGAGTCGGGCAGTTCTCAGCCACAGGCTCTAAGTGGAGCTGGGTCCAAGCCACAGCCACGGCCAAGCCCAAGGTGGACACGACTGAAGTGGCCCAGTTCAGTCAGGAACTCCCAGGTTCAGATGAGTGTTCCTCCTTCCCAGTACCTTTTTGGAACCACAGGGGAGAGAGATGTTAAACGCAGGCATATGGCCTGACCTGCTTCTCTCTCACTTGGGGATGAGAATGCGGCTCCACACTCAGCACCTGAGGCCCGGGCTGGGGGGCAGGGGCTCACCTGGCCTTTCTGTCCGCTTGAGCAGGGTCTTGGAGAGCGAGGAAGGCCGCCGGGAGTACCTTGCCTTCCCTACCAGCAAGAGCCCTGGGGCAGGCCAGAAGGGCCGCAAGGACCTGTTGAAGGGCAATGGCAGGCGCATCGACTACATGCTGTACACCGAGGAGGGGCTGTGCCCGGACTGGAAGGCCGTGAGTCTGGGGCCAGGCGGGCAGCCAGGCCACGCCTGGAGAGGGGACCCAGTGCCCTGCTCCCCTCAACAGCACTGGGCTTGCCTCTGAAAATGAGACCTGCCAGTCCTGGAGACCTTGGGGAAACCTGGGATATTCCCACCCCTCTGCCTTCAGGAAGACCCCACCAGCCCTAACCCAGAGACCCCACCCCCTGCCTTTCTGGCCCCTATTTTGCAAAATGCTTTTTGGGTCTAACCAGGATGCTTTCCCACCCCTTCCCAGGAGGTGGAAGAATTCAGTTTTATCACCCAGCTGTCCGGCCTGACCGACCATCTCCCGGTTGCCATGCGGCTGACGGTGTCTGCAGGGGAGGAGGAATCATAGTCCAGCCAACTCATCACAAGCAGCGGGGCTTCTGCAAGCCCTGAGCCGCAGCCCCTCCCTGGCTGTGTCCCCGCCAACAAGCACCACTGGTGCTGGGTGAGGAGGGCAGGGGCCCAGGGGGAACCGTGGTCAGTCTCTGGTGAGCTGGAACCAGCGCTGCCCAGCACCTCCGGGCACTTGCCATGGACAGAGGAGTCAGGCCGGCCCAGGGAGCCCCGGCTGCCCAACCAGTGCCATTCTTTCAAAACGTGATTTTCTACAACTCTATAGCACAACCTAGTTTATAACCTCTGGTTAGTATGAGAACCGGGTTTCTGTACTCTTTGTATCTCTTCTCAAGCTTTGTCCAGGGTTCATTACTTCTGTCTCGCATGTCCGCACCCTTGCATGCATGCTACCTGCATGCTACATGCCACGTTGTAGCCACATAGACCCCTCACTCAGGCCTCACCCAAGGCCAAACTCCAAACACAATCAGAACCAGCCAAAGAAGCACTCCTGGGCATGGCCACCAGCTCGCCTCCTCCAGCCCATTCGGCTCATGAGCAGGGAGCATGAGGGCTGGTCCAGTTAACAGGGAGCCCGGGCTCTTCCCAGGGTCTTGCATTCAAGGGCAATTACATTTTAAAAAGAAAACCAGAAAAAGTTGAGAACAAAAACAACCCTTCACAGGCTCTGCAAGCCTGGAGGAGCTGCTGCTCTTCCTGAGACAGGCTCCCCCAACCCCCGGCTCCCTCGGGACTCAAAAGTGAGCAAAGGGCCTCCAAGACTCGCTTTTTTATAGGAAGAAGGGACTCACGGTACAAGGGGGGAGGGGGGCTTCTGGTTTTGAATGTAGATTTATAGCTTCTCTTCTGTCAAAACCAACACATCTTCCTGCCTGATTCCCATCTCCCCTCTGGACACCTCTCTGGTTCAGGACCAATCCCTCCCCGGGGACTGTACCGTTCCACATGCTGGCTGAGCTCAGGAACTGTCTGCCTCTAGATGGGGCTATGGCTCTGTCCTCCCAGGCCCATCCTCTAAAGTGGCCCCAGGGCCCCTAGACAAAGAGGCAGGAAGCCAAGGTGTGGAGAGCAGCTTGTCCCCTTCCCCTCCCCAGAGTGCAGGCTGGGGTGGCAAGGCCAGGGGCCACTGCTTGCCTGGGGCAGGGAGTGGTTCTGGTTGGCCTCCAGCCATACAGATGCTCTCACTCAGTCAGGGCCAGCCCTGGGCACCTGAGCACTGTGTGACAGAGCCTGCAGGTGAGGCCCACCGCTCCCCACCCCACGGCAGCACTGCCTCTGCCCCACCTGCCTTTCTAAACACACCTGGGGATGCTCCCCAGAGTCACGCAGGGAAGGTGTGGTCTGTTCCCAGGTGCAAGGCTCCTCTGACTTGGGGACTGTTCTTGACACGCCCCTCCCCAGTCTTCCCTCCTCCAAGCACCCTGAGCTTGTGCTTGTCTGGCTCAGAGCCAGCTCTGCCCAGCGAGGCTGGTGTGCCGACACCGTGCCTTGTCACCTGCTGAGTTGCAAGAGGGATCAAGAGGGGGCCAAGCGGCCAGCCAGAGGCCAGGCCTTGTGTCAGGAGAAGACACGCCTGAGACCATGCCCATGGTGGCACTAGTTTGTGTAAACTCCCCTGGCCAGGACAGCAGCTGGACTGAAGACTTCTTGCTGGGAGCCAGTCACTGGCCAGACCCCCAGCTCCACCCCCTGCCAGGAGGACCTGGTCACCGGGAGGGCACAGTCCTGCCTGGGTCTCTGCTACACCCCTCCACCCAGGACCTGGCCTCCAGAGCCTTGGCTAGGCTTTGCAGGGTCAGCAAGCCCCCACTCCCAGGAGCAGCCAAGAACCTTGCTCACACAGGCAAGAGTTGTGGGTCCTGTTGTGGCACCTGGATGGCTGGGCCTGAGCTGAGGCCCCCAGGCTGCCGGTTGGCCATGTGTCCAGGAAAGCAGAAGAGGTGGACACTAGGACCCCTGAAGCAGAGCAACTCCAGCACAGCTTCCACCCCTCAGAGAGGCTGGCTGCTTCCCAGGACTGCTTGCCTGGAGCTGAGGTGCAAGGCACAGGGACCGCTCTCCCTTCTCACAGGGCGGCCTTAGGCCAGTCACACCTCCCTGTGCCTCAGTCATTGCCTGTCCTAACAAGGTCACCTCTGCCCAGCCGGGCCCAGGCATCCAGCTCGCCTCACGCCTCCCTGTGGTGGGGCCTCAGCGCCGAGGAACCATTGCCCCACCACCCGTTCCTCAAGCCTGAGGACTCCTGGGGCCGTGCACAAGCCAGACTTTTCCATTTTGATTTTTAAAAAGAAAGAAAAGAAACATTGCTAGGATTTTAGATCCTGTGGCATTTAGGCCTGGAAGGGGTGGACACAGGAGTCACCCCAAACCCCAACCAAGGCCCTAAGCCTGCCCCGGGCCCAGCCTCCTGCAGAGAAGCCAGGAGGCGGGGTTCAGCTCTGAAGGAAATGGTCATTCTCATGTGTCCAAACCACCTTGGGTTTTAAGTATGAATATTAATCTTGATGCTTTTTAACTATTGTATTAACTTGCTGAGATTTAGAAATACTGTTTTAAAAAAACTTTTTTAATTTCTGTATTTTTTTCTGTATTGTATCTTCATGGGACATTAGGGGTTTTTCTATGGTAAGCACACCTAAGGTTTTGGTAAAAGCATTATCAAATATATTTCCAGACGATTCTTCCCTAGAAGAAAAACAATCTTTACACCTGATAAAATATTTTGAAGAGAGAGGTGTTTTTTTTTCCTTTATTGGTGCTGAAAGGAAGGATGGACAATGAGAAAATAAAACTGTGAGGCTCAAGGCCAGTGTTCTCCACTTATTTGACCAACAAACTAGGGCCAGGCTTGGAGGGGGGACCACTGTGGGGGGCCTGCCTCTCCTGCCTCCCCTACAGATGGGCACGGCTGATGTCGCCACAAAACTGCCAGGAAAACAGGCTACCTGGGTTTTCTTACTCATGTCCTCATTCTGGGACTGGGAGGACGTGGCAAAAAGGCACCTGGAGAATGGGGAGAAGCAAGGCCGGGACTTCCTGGGACTCTGGCCTGCCGGAGCGACGCAAGGCTGGGCTGGGTGGCTGCACCTGGCCCAGCCTTCTGGCGGGGTGGGAGGAGCTTCTGCTAGAAGCGGGGCACAGGGGAGAAGGCCATACCTCCTGGCTCCCTCTCCGGACGGCTTCCTGGGTCTGCGTCTCAGGAACTGCTCTGGGACAGCCTCTTCCCAGTCCTCTGAACAGCAGCCTGGTGTTGAGGTGGCAGGTCCTGATCACCTTCTGAGGCTGCACACCAAGGCCACATGCTTATGAACGTGGCTTGGTGACATTACACAGCAAGCAGAAGGGCCAGAAGGCCGTCCTTGGCCCAAACCCTGCCAATGTCTTCAAAGCCCAGGGCCCAGGGCCCAGCCACAAGTCAGCATCCCACCCCAAGAAGCCCCTCCTAGCTGGACCTGGGGAAGCAGCACCCAGAGGTTCCCAAAGCACAGGCCAGCCCCCACTAGGAAGTGTATCCACCTCAGTACTGCGCAGCCAAGAGAGGCACACAACCTGCCCCATCCCACTCAGGGCTCTATTCCCTTCCAGGGACAGTGGTCTTGGGGTTTCCTGAACACCTTACAACCACTGTAGGGTGGGCTCCCTAGACCTTCCTCAGCTCAGCCAGCAGCCATGCTGCCCACCACACCTGGAGCCAGCATGCAAAAATGTAAAAAGGAAAGAGGTCTCGAGCCCAGAGGCTGAGCTGTGCCCTGAAAGGTGGGGCACCTTCACCTTCCTACTCAGAAAGCCACGCCATTCAGAGCCCAGAGCCACTTTATTTGTTAACAAGTGAGGGGTCAGCACCCACTGTCCAAGGTGTGTGAGAGTGTGAAATCCATGGTGATGTCTCCGGTGCCAGGGTGGAACTCCACAGCATAGCTGACTGTCCGAGGGCTGCCTGGCGGCGCCCCAGGGTCTGGTGTAGTGCTCAAGAAGTACACGGCCTGCTTGCAGTGGGGATTCCAGCAACAGTCTTCCTGCAGAAGGAGCAGCAAAAAGGTGGTGAGGGATTCCAGCACCAGCACCCAAGGCCCCTCCTGGCCAACCTCCAGCCCAGGCAAGCTGCTCTGTAGCAAGCTGCTGCTCAGGCCTGGTGACCGGAGGCCACTGGACGAGCTCTCTGGCTGAAGGTGCTGGGAGCATCCAGAGCACAAGCTGGCAGGCAGGGCTTCCCTGAGCAGTCCTGCTCTTGGGGTCATCCCACTCTGGGGCCCACGTTACCTTGTCCTCTCCAGGCTTCAGGAGGCCGGTGCTGACCGTGCTGTCCGGAGTCAGGTGGTGCTCCATCCACAAGACGACGCCGTGGCTCCTCCCAGGCCTGTGGGAGAGGGCAGGGCGGATGGTGGGCCAAACAGAAACGGCCACATGAGAGACGTGCAGGCTCCGTCATGGCTCCCCTGCTGTCCAGAAACCTCTGCTCTTCCCCGCTTCCATCCTGCCTAGACTGGAGGCTCCTAACATCCACCCAAATCAAGGTCACTCAGTAGGATGCTGAGCAAGAAGGGCCACAACCCAGAGTCCCCATTTGCTCCTGGCAGCCTGGCCAATATTCAGAGTGACAGTGGGGCAGCAGTTTTTCCTTTGGGAAGAAGCAGCCCCTCCCTGTCAAGGGAGATGGAGTTGGTTGGGCCTGACTGTGACTCACAAAGAGCAACCCTCACCAATTCCTAACCTGCTTTAATCTGAAGAATTCAGGAAAATGGTCCAATGAGTAACCATAGCAACCAAATTCACATTTTTCTGCAGCTGTGATCCAATACACCGCTCAGCGCAAAGGGAGCCGCAGATGAGCGGGGGGAGAGCAAAGCCCATTCTGGCTCTCCCTCCCCACCTACACTCCCAGACTCTGTGGGGACATGTTTTACACTCAGGGCCACTTCAGGCCAGGAAGGGCAAGGCCAAGACAAGGAGGGCCACCCTCACCTGCGTGGAAGTGGCCCAAGTATGTGCTTAGCCACGTGGACAGTAACTACTACACAGAAAGCAGGCCCACCACTTCCTTCCTCCACTCCCCCACCCCAGGGCCTGCACTCACCTCCTCAGCTCAATGAAGCCCTCAGCTCGGACAGGCCGAGGGGGAACTGGCTGCCGAAAGTCAAAGGTCAGGATATGCTGGGGCTCAGAGAGGCGGCGGCATGGGTACTCCCACAGCGGGTGGGGCTCGGCTTCCTTGCTCTCCCTGAAGTCTAGGGCACGCTGAGAAGGGAAGGGGATGTGGGGGTCTGCAGAGAGTGCCAGTAGCCTAGGGGACAAGAGGCTCATGTCCCCACCCTAGGGTCTATGCCAAGGCCCCTCACTTCCACAGCCCAGGTCCCTCAGGGTAACTGCCACATGCACATGGGGCACTGGGTCCTCACAGAAAGACAACAGGCACCTGGATCAGACCAGTGGCCTCCTCGGTTACCTGCCGCCACTCATGAGCCATCTCTTCGGTGAGTCACCTTACTTAAGGTTCATCCTCTCTCTCGTTAAAAGGGAACGACACTGCCCACCACCCCCTGAGCTACTCTGGGGACCAAGTGTCTACACCAGTGAGAAAACCTGGTGCTTGGACCCTCGCCCACTCAGTGACCTGTACTGAGCACTACAGTTGTCAGCCCCCCAACAAGGCTCCCAATCTAGAGGGAGACACTGGGAGACAAACACCCATAGTGCCTGGGGAACGCTGATCCCCGCCTGAGAACGGGGCTGCGCAGGACAGCTGTGATTTTGGCTACCGCTTGCAGGTCACACAGAGCTGGAAGCAAGGAGAGTGGACAAGCCAGGCAGGTGGAGGGCATGGAGAACAGCCCAGGGCGGGCCGGGCCAAGCGACCGGGCGGCTGCAGGAGTGCAGGGGCCACAATGCCTCATGGGTTTTCCTGCCAGGAAGGACAGGGCCAGACTTAGGGTTTACAGGTTCACTGGGCTCCTGTGGAGGAAGGCGAAGCGGGAGAGACAGGAGGCTGCCTGGCCACAGGCGAGAGACCAAGTGGCCCAGACCAGAAGGGCAGCAGCAGGGGGAGAAAATGGGATTTGGGGCTGAGGGTCTGGGGGCTAGGGACCTGATGGCAAACTGCCAGTGATAGCAAGGACTTGGCTGGGAGGCCACCACGGCCCTGAGCCTGGCAGCTAGGTATAAAGTGGTGGCAGGCCTAGGACAGGAGCACCTGATCAGACCAGGCTGGGGTGGGGGAGGGGAGAGAAGGGAGATTTTGGAAGCATCAAGGTCAGAGTGCCTGAGACCATCTCAGTGGTGAGTCCACGGCTCTTGGTTATTCAGTCTGAGCTCAGGAGAGATGCAGACACTGGCCAGCAACAGAGAAGGAACAGAAGACAGTCGGGAGGGCAGGGCTGAAGCAGAGGCCTGAGGGAGACCTAGAACTCATGACACTTTGGGGGATGGGAAGTGGGGAGTCCACGAAGGAGCCCGAGGAGAGGCCAGAGGGAGCTGGCATGTGCAATGCCTCAGCACAAAGGACATTGCTAGAACATGGAACAGTCAGTGGCCTGATGTGGAGGGGCAGGTAAAACGCAAACCGAAAACATCCACTGATTTACTTAAAAAAATGCTTAAACAAGCAATCCACAATCACTGCAGAAAAAATGTGAACAAAAAGCAAAAGAAGGAAGAAATTAACTATTTCCTAATCACACAGCTAACATTCTGATGTCCACTTTCCTACCTGAGTGTGTGTGAATATTCTTAATGCAAAAAAATGGGACTGTGTCCCTTGGACCGCCCTTCTCACATGGCCATGCCATGTCTCTGCTTCAACCCTTGCAGCTCCAAATATCACTTGCACAACTGCCCGGGACTCTGGGGGATGCAGACCCTGACAGGTGACTCAACCCCTGCTGGCACAGAAATATGCCTCCTTCTACATCCCTCTCCGTGCTCTGACACTTTCCCTTGAAAGGGAGTCCCCAAAATGAAAATGGCTGGCTCAGAGGGTTACCAAATTGTCTTCTAGAAAGGCTTTCCCAACAGGGAACAAGATGCTGACACTGAACCTTGGCAGGTTCCAGTGGTACCATGACAGACAGGCCCCAGCCCAAAATTCTGATTCAGGGGTTACAGTCCAGGGCCAAGAATGGCCTAGTATCAGACTCTGAGACACAATGGTTCTCAGGTTCATGCTCATGGTAAACCAAATAGAATGGACACGCCTCTTTGCTGCCCCCAACAGAGGAGCTCTCTGCACCACTGCCTGCACTGCCCAGCCTAGGTCCCTCCATGGAAGCTGGATATTCCTGTTAGAGGCCTGGGGCCATGTGGACTAGGTGGGTGGAACACTGCAGGTGGGAGCTGTGGCCCCGCCTACCTTAATCATGTCATCCATGATGTGGACATCAAAGCCTTCACAGTCACCACAGGGGCTCCGGATCCGCCACAGGTCCTGTGGGAAGGTGCAGCCCTCATTGACACCTGCCCACGTGGGGAGAAGTGTGTGGCCATGCACAGGTTCTGTGTGACAGCGCACCAATGCCCACACCCACCCAGGGATATGGAAGTGTGGTGACAAGAGCAAGAAGGGTCAGTGACGTCGGGCTGAGGGCTGTGCCAGTCTCAAACCTGGGGCACACCTTGCTGCTCCTGTGTACCTGGAAGGGACCTCTGAGGCTGAAGGGACTCAGAGATACCCAGACCCAGATGACCCTTCACATCTGCAAGGTCTCACATGACCCACGTCCCGTCCTACGATCCAGAGTAACCTGGCTGGGGTTTCTCACTCCCTGTCCATCCTGAACATCATTTCTTTGGGAAGAAATTGGCAAACCAGTTCTCAGGGCTCTGTGAACAGAGTGTGGGGGCTACGGGAGGGAGGAGACCAGAAGTGCTCTCAGGCCAGTCAGCTGCTCATCCTCTGTCACAGGGACATGTGTCTGGGACCATGTGTCACTTTCCATGTTCCCTCTTTGGCCATGAAAACCAGAATTCATGTGGAAATCTGATCATGTAAATAACACAGAAGAAATGCCCAGTGATTTAAGTGATGGAGCCACTAGGTTACCAACAGATAAAACTATACTTATCAAAGAAATATCAAACGAGGTTCACTTTTTTCAGGTTAAAAGCATTTCAAAATCCTTTCAAAAAAATTCCTTTCCCAAAATGACTTTGTTACTGGTTCGGCTTTGATGAGAAAATTAAAATGAAGCTTTTGAATTTTTTCTTGCATAAAGAAGCTGACTCCATCTCAAAATGCTTTCAACTGGAGCCTCAGCTCTTAATGAGAGCAGAGCAAGCTGCAGAGCATGTCTTCTGAAACTCTTCATTTATATTTTTTAATTATTCTGATAAGCCATAATTATAAAATGACAACACACAGCCATTTCCATTCCATATGCCAAATTGCTGCAATTTTACAAAAGCAATCCTCTGCCAGTCAACTCCTCAGTGTGTTGATACAGAAAAGCAGAGGCCCAATTCATGAAGGCCCAAGTTGCTCCATCTGCACCAAGGTCTCTGCAAGAAAATAAGGTCCCCCACCCCAGCTCCCACCCTGTCTGCAAAAACCTCTAGGTGGCCTACCCTGAATTCCACGACCACAGCATGCAGCGAGGCAGCCTGGGGAAGCACCACAGCACCAGGGCCCAGGTGCTGGTCCACGGCAGTCCGAACATACCAGAAGTACAGGTTGTGCCATGGCAGCAAGCTGGTGGTGAAGAACGGCTCGCCGAGGAGAAGAGAGACCTAGTTGTAGGGAAGCAGCAGGGCCAAGGCATCAGAAGGCTTCGGCCGAGGAGTGAGGGGCAGGCCTCAAGCTTCACGGGAAGCATGGGAGTAACAGGCCATTAGTTCACTGACTCACACACTCAGTCAACAAACAAGCATGCCTGGTCTGCACCTGCTCTGGAGAACACAAAGATGAGAACAGACATGGGCCCTGCCCTCGGGACACAGAGTGGAAGGGGGGCAGACAAGGCATGGGCTTGCCTCGCAGAGTGTGTGAGCACCGGCTGACAGAGGCAAGGAGGGGGCACATGGAGGCCCCCCAAAGGAAAGAGCAGAAGGCTGGGTTCCCAGCTAGCAACCTGCGAATGACCACTCAGACCTTACCATGACAGCTGCCAGGGCTGGTCTAAGTGGCTCCTTCACTAGGCTCTGGGCACCACAAAAGTGGGGATGTTGGCAGCATGGCATCCCCAGCACCCAGCAAGGTGCCTGGCCCAGAGCAGACGGTCAGTGAGTGAGTGCTGAGTATATGAACAGATGCACACACAGGGGTCAAAACAGCAAGAGAGCGGGGATTCCAGCTGGAGAGCTGGGCAGAGACAAAGGCACAGGTGTGAGCAGGAGCAAGGCCCTACTGGGAGCTGGTGAGACGGTAACGGGTGAGGCCAGAGAGGTGGCAAGGAACCAGGTCACCCAAAGGCAGCTGACCACAGGGTAAGGGGGCCAGATTCTGCCCTAGAGGCAAGAGGGCTCACTAAAAGCCTCAATGTGAAGAAATGAGCTTTAGGAAGAGCCCTCTGATGACCATGGAATATGTGGGGAGACCCCAGGCAGGGAGGGGGAACGGGCAGTGACTGGGAGAGTGCTGCACCCATCCAGGCAAGGAGCAGGGAGCGTGCAGAAGCACGGATGGGAGACGCAGCAGACAGGGGGAGACAGAGTGCCTGGGTCTGGGCCCAAGCAGACAGGCATCAAGGGAGGAGCCGCCCGAGCTGACACCTGGGTTTCTGGCTGGCATGGTGAAGACGCCAAAGGAAACACCGAAGACAGAAAAGGGCTGGCACCCAGTACCCCGCCCAAAAGTCAGGGTGAGAATGCCCGCTTTCACCCCTGCTATTCACCATGCCAGTGGCCTGAGTCCAGCCAGTGCACCTGTACCAATGGCTTACAAAGCTCAAATATCTTTTTAAGCCTCATTTATGAGGGGAAAAAACATGCAGCTTGCACATGTTCACAGAAGCATCATTCAAGGGAGCCAAAAAGTAGAAACAGTCAAAATGTCATTCAGCCAATAAATGGATAAGTAACAGGTAGTACATCCATACACTGGGATATCAGCAATGAAAAGAAATGAGTACTGACTGGTGCTACAAAGTGGATGAACCTTAAAAGCCAGTCCCATAAAGACCACATATTATATGATTCCGTTTATGGGAAATGTCCAGAACTGGCAAACCCACAGGGACAGAGAGTGGACTAGAGCTTGCCTAGGCCTGGGAGGATGAGACAAACAGGGAGTTCTGTGAGCCACTTTAACAAATTAAGAGAACCTAAATGGGGAGGTCGTTGGAACCTCTAATCTGTAGCCAGTGTGTCAGAAGCACAGGTAACAGCCTGGGGGTGGAGGACAGTCTTATAGGACGGAGCCCTTAACCTAGGAATCCTGAGCTGACTCCTGGCGGATAGCATCAGAACTGAGCTCATGGACACCCTGCTGGCATTCGAGAATTGCTTGGTATCAGGTATGGGGAGCTCCCCTCCCCCATCACACACACACTGGAATCAGACCCGGGAACCCAAGAGGAGTTGTCATGTGGAATACAATGGCTATAATAAAAAAGACAGATACCAAGTGTTGTTACAGATACAGAGAAACCAGAACCCTCATACACTATTGGTTAAACAAAAACACCACACAACTCAGCAACTCCAAAGCCTATGCATCTACCTAAGAGAACCTACCTTAGAACTAATGTTACTGTGATAAACACACATCCTCACAAAGATTTATATACCCATGTTCCCAAGAGCGTTATTCCTCAGAGCCAAAAGATGGAAACAATTCAAATATCCCCCAACAGGTGAGTAAACAAAATGCAGCATGTTCATACACCGCAACACTGTCGAACATCAGCAAACTACGGACCCATTCTACAACATGGACGGGCCTTCTAATCGTCATGCCCAGTGAAAGCAGCTCAGTGCAAAGGCCAACATCTTGTATGATTCCACTTATAGGAAATGTCCAGAAAAGACAAATTTATAGAGACAGACCCCAGATCAGTGATTGCCTGGGGACTGGGGGCTCAGTGATAAAAATGTTCTAAAACTAGAATGTGTGATAGTTACATAATTCTACAAACACAAAAAGTCAATGAATTGCACATTTGAAACAGATTAATTTTATGTTAGGTCAACTACACCTAAATAAAGCTGTTAAAAAAAAACATTGGCAAGAAAGATGACAGGTTCCAGCCTGAAGGGCCTGTGGGATATGCAAGGAGGGACAGCCCAGCTGGCGGCTGGACACGGGGGATTTGCAGACCTAGCTTTGATGGATAAAGAGTCCCACAGGGGAAGGGATGTTACTACCCAGAGAGGAGACGAGAGGGAGAGGAAAGCATGGACAAGGAGAGGGCACCAAGGACCATCCCGAGGGGAGAACTGCGTGTTTAGGAGCGGGGGGGTCCCTGGGTGGAAAGGTTCCAGGATGCCAGTGAGATGAGCCTACAGGGAGACCACACTTAGAAACTTAGATGTTACTAAGAGTTTGCAGGTTTGTCAGGAGCAGCTGAGGAGGCGCACACACAGGGACACACGCACAGCCAACTGCGGCAGGACAACATGAGTGGGACGGCATGAGCAGGAGGGTGGGTGAGGAAGGGAGGGTCGTGAAGGGGAAAGGCAGAGAGGACACCATTTGCTGCTCAATCCCAGCAGAACCACCAGAAGGAGCAGGGACCAGGCAGAGCCCAGAGCAGTCTAAGCATAGTGCTCATCAGGCATCTCTGCAGACAGCCCCCAGGCCCTCAACAGTGGGGGTCCTGAGCTGCTGTCAGGCAGGCCCGGAGAAGAGGGGCAGTGGGGCCGGAGCAGGGCCAGCGCAAATGCATAGCTCTCGCCACTCACCTTTCTACCCTCCAAGTCTGCAGGTGTTAAAGATTCAGGCCGTTTCTCTATTATATTAATTTTGTCTTCCAAGTGGTTAGCTTTGAAGATCTTAAAGAGAAAACAATAAAGGTATTGTTTTTGTCCAGAAAAACTATCTCAAAAGTGTTTTATCTGTTTGCACTTTTCTGGCCCAGTAATTCTACAGCAACACTTTTATCTGCTTTGTGAAAACTCTCCCCTCCAGGGGTACCCTGTGCACCAAGGATAAGACAACTAACAAAATGTTGTTAACAGCAGAAGAAATTTCTCTTCCAGGCATATCAGCAGACTTAGCAATAGGCTTGTAGATCTGGGGAAGATGGGCTATCTTTCAGAGAGGAACCCAAAATCAATCACCCACAACACGGGGAAACACCATCATGGAACCAACCAGTCAGGCCAGCCTGTGGGCAGTGACTCCTGGGAGCTGCTGTCTCAGAAACAAACAATAAACTCAGTTGTATCACCATAAAGATTTTTGTTTTTTTTTAGTTTTACATGAAGTGAGGAGAAAAACCTATACTTCTTCAGCCACAAAAAACCGAGTAGAGTCCAAATGTTTGCTGCTATTCAGTGACAGCCCTAGAGGATGCCCAGGCCAGCTCTCAACTGTACCAAGAGCTCTCTCTGACAGCTGCTCCTTCTCCCAGTCCCCGTGGTACAGAAAATGGTTCAAAGAAATCAGTCCCAGACCCAGAAAGGCAGTCTCCACAGGTCCCTTCATGATTTTGGTAACAATTACCACTTACTTTTTTCATCAGTCTTTGAGAAGCTGCTGAACTCTCTATTGTAAATACCTAAAAAGAATGCCATGCTATTAGTCACAGGAGATTCACTTAACAGAGAAAGAAATTAAAGATGAAAATACAACAAGATCATTCTGAGGCAGAGACACACCCCATCAACTCTATCTGTGCTCATTACCCCCGGGACAGCAAGTATGGTCTGCACTGACCCCAGCAAGGGAACAGACCTAGACATGGGAGCTGGAGCTGCAGGGCAACAGCTACCACCTGACTCCTGTCCACATGCAGAGGCTATAAGCCCCGGAACCAAACAGGCTGCATACACGGCTGCTGCACTTGCAAACTGCTTGTCAAAGAACAGAGTGCCTAGATCACAGAACACCCTAACTCAAGAGCCACCCACAGCAAGCTGGCAGAAAGGCACACAGTACCTGCTGTGCCCCTAGGTGATAGGCCAGCATGGAGAGCAGACTGCCATCGCTGACACACAGGCAGACACTGTCTGGCTTCAGCACCTACAGGAAGAGAGCAACCTCAGCACAGGTTTTCTTATAGTTCTGTCAAGAAATTCTTGTTGGCAAAGTGACAAATGTTTCCCTTCCCCTGACTCCACTAATCCACTCTGTGAGCATTCGATCTGGTTGCCCCCGACCACCACCCATGCATCACGCCTGCCTCCCAGTAGTAACCAGCCTCCATCCTCAACATACCTAACTCACCTCTCCCTGCCCAGACGTCACCCTCAGGAAAGCCTCAAGCTATCCTAGCAGGCCCAGCTGAAGACTCGCCCCACTTGCCAGAGGCCTCTTCCCAGTCTATGACACCAGGCCTCTTCCCTGTCTGGTCACTGCAGAGATGGCTGTGGGCCTGTCAAGTGACTTGCCAAAGGCAAGTGACATGCCTTACAAGTCACAGACCCCACTGACAAAAGCTGAGAATAATTGGAACCCTCCCACCCCCCCTCCAAAATGCATGCTAGTACATACGTGTGCACGTTTCTGTATACAACTCCCAGGGGTCCAAGAGACCCCCCCTCCAAAGCCCACGTGTGGTCTCCAGGCTGAGAGATCCCTGCCTCTGGCAGCAGGGAGCAACGTTTTCAGGCAGGAAAATTTTATGACCAGACTTACATTTTAGAAAGTTTTAGAAAGGAGGCAGCAGAGGAATGGGTACCTTAATCCCCTGGGATCACCCACCAGAATTACTGGTGATCACAAACGCCAAGTGTCCAGAGGGATGAAGGCAGGGCCAGGTGGAGACTCTCACGGGGCAGCAGAAAACAAGCCCCCAGAAAGCCCAGTAAAGCTTCCTGGTTTTCTGCTTGAGTGGCCTACCCAACATCACCAGACCAGGGAGCACAGAAAACAAAACCAGCCAATCATAAGCAAGTAATGAGCTGGGGCCCCGGAAACAGGGGAAACAAACTCCTCCTTTCCCACAACCACCCAAGTGGCTAGACATTTACCGTCTTCAGGGCCTGGGCGTATTGATCAGTTCTGTCCTGATCATTGAGCTCTCCAAACCGAGGCCGGTTCCAGAGGAGGTGAGCCTGGCAGTCACACACAGGGCGTGCTGGGTGGACGCTCTCATTCCTTTCAAAGCTGGGCCAGGAGATGAACAGGCAGGCACAGGGCAATGAGCGTGGGGCATGGCACACAGACCTGCCGCAGTGAAACTGAGAGGGGCCAAAAGTAGCACACCCATGGCCCTATAGAGGGCGTGAGTCTAGGCACTGGCTCTCAAGTGGGCACTGGAGGTTGGAGGGCCCTCCAATTCAAGACTTCTCATGTATGTCTGTTCCAAACAGGGACCCCCGCAACCAGGGAAGCTTCTTTTAGGTACACACAAAATGTGATTGCTGATATATCCAGTCACAATCTTTTGCTCTTATTTTATCTGTTCAGATACAGATGTGTCCACTCATGTCTTGGCAAGGTCCTTAGGTGGGGAATTTACATACCACCCACAGCGTTACAGGCCCAGTGCCCCACCCCACAAAGCTCCAGGCACACCTGGCTTTCTGAAGGCTGTACCACACACAGTAGTCATCGTGGTGGGCTACCAGGCAGAGGGCTAAGCCCTGGATGACAGGCTCCTCTTGTGGCAGGAAGTATACACACTGCATCCAATGGTCCCGCCACTGAAACAGGGAACGAAGAATCAGTTGTCACCAAGCTGCAAAAAGAGCAATGCGTCTAATCCAAGAGCCAAAATCCAAGCAAAAATCAGTTGTAGGGAGACCACAATGTGTACTGCAGATGGCTTCTAGGAAAATCCTCAAGTCAGAGGGGCTTATATAACCTCAAAGTTTGCTGGAACACTGCTGGCTTTAGGAGGATACAATATGGGCCAGGGCAGTGGTCTTCAAGAGGGGTCAGGGGTGGGGACTCCAGCCCCAGCCCCATGCGCACACCTGTGTGCATGTGTGTGGAGAGAGATGGAAGGAGGGAGGGAGAAAGCAAATGAAGCAAATGTTAACAATCGGTGAATTGATTTAAGTAAGGAGCTGTTCATTTATTGGTGTTCATTTTCATTTGTTCTGTCGACTTAGAATTTTTCAAAATAAAAAGCTGGGAAATAGTATGAATGGTTACATTTTGTTCTTTTGGAATACCCTCAATTGTGGAACATGCTTTACAGTGGTCCAGAGTCAATGTTTAATAAGTTGTGTTGATCCTTTTTGATACTACAAAATATATATACAGGAGTCTATCTTCAGAAAAAAGCTATATTCACATACACGTTTATTACAGAATTATTTACACTAGGAAAAAACAGAGCCAACCCAAATGTCCAGCACTTCAGAAATGGATACATAAATAGACATTTAAAATGCTAAATACAAAGGCGATGGAGCAGCAGGACAGACCAGAAGCACTGACAAAAAGCCCACACATGTGGGGAAAAAACCAAAAGGAGTTCTTTGGGGTGGTAGGACCCTGGGTGACTTTTGATTCATTTTTATATAATGAGATTTATTACTCTTTTAATCCTTAAGCCTCTTTTATTTATTTATGTATTTACTTACTTACTTATTTATTTTGGTATAATTAATCTATTGTTTCAGGAACTAGGAAAACTCAGCCCCACTTCTCAGGAACACATGCTACCCTATCCAGCCTCGAGTTTAACCAAATGGCAGATGAATGACATTCCCATGTATGTAAGATTTGAACATAAAAGCTAGAAAATGAAAATATACCCAGATGATAAATTCTAGAAAAAAATAAATAGTAACAAGGAGGAAAAAAAATAGGTTCTCTAAAACCTGTTATTCATTCCTTACTATGCAAATTAATCTAAAGACAAGAGAAGCCTTCCCTGACCCTCAGTGCTCCCAGAGTGCCTCCCTGTCATCCTGTCTTTCCCACCTGCCAGCCTCCCAGGTCCTTGGCTAAAGAGCTGCTGACAGAACCCACTGTTCAAGGTGAGATGTGCTGGATGTATTTCAGACCAAGGGCAGTTCTGTGAAGTCACGGGGGAGATTCATTAGCAGCTCTTCAAATTCCTAACAGTCCAAAAGTCACTGCTGGAAGAGGAAGGTCACAAGCCCATGGTCAGGAGACCTGGGGCTGAGCACCCACCACTGCTGCCCAGACACCAGGCCCTGCTCCAATCCCCCTCCAGGCTAAGCCTCAGTTTGGGCATTATGTGGTTACTAGGCAAGTCGTCTTTGAGGACTCCAGGAGAAAACAGAGAAGCACTTTTAAGGTATGCAAATGAAAACTATCAATATTTTTATATTCTTATGCTAATTTTGTAACCATCACACTCCTAGAGAGGTTGTCCTAAGCAGTAAGTCAGGGAGCAGTTCCCCAAAAGAAGGTGAGCAAGCAGAGCCAAGCAAGTGGAGACAGGAGGACAGAATACACAGAGGATGATGCCCAGGGCTGCTGAGGAGGTAGAGGGGAGTTTGATTCCTAGGCCCTGAAGCACTTTCCCACTTTTTCCCTCGGAGTGTGTGTGCAGAGGAGTAGGTAACACATGCACATAAGAGAACATTCAGATAAGAAGGAGTAGAGAGGAGCCAAGATGGCAGCATGAGTAGGGCAGTGGTAATCTCCTCCCAAAACCATATATATTTTTGAAAATACAACAAATACAACTATTACTAAAAGAGAGACCAGTGGATACAGTACAACAACCAGGCTACATCTACATCTGCGAGAACTCAACACCTCATGAAGGGGGTAAGGTACAAGCTGTGGCTGGTGGGACCTGAGCATCCCCCCCACCCCAGCTCCCTTCAGAAATGGATACATTTCTGAAAGGAAAGGAATAAGAGCAGGGAGGGAGTGGAAGCCCAGGACTGCTAAACAACCAGCTCTAGTAATATGCACTGGGACTGCAGACACACATTGAATGGTGAGCTGGATATTAGGGAAATAGAAAAGTAAAATCTGCAAGCGGGTCCCTGCAGCCGGTGCCCCTGGAACAAAAGAAAAGTGAGTGCTTTTTGAAAGTCTTAAAGGGACAGTGACCCCACAGCTGGATGGAAGTGTCCCAGCACACTCAACCCAGCAGGCTGGGAATTCTGAGGAACTTCGGGCGCCCCAGCCCCTGGGTGGCAACAAACCCCTGAAGCCCCTCACAGTGATAGGCAGCCTGCTGGTTGTTCCCCGGCTGGCACAGCCCCAACACAGCAGCCGAGCAGCTGAGCAGTGGTGAAGCAGCTGGAGAGCGGCCGCGCCCACAGCAGCCACCCAGAATTTCCTCCCTGCACGCAGCTGCCTTGGGCAGGCAGAGGAAACTGGGGCAAAGGGGCACTGTTCTAGCAGGAGAGCACACCCGGCATGCCTGCCACTCCCTGCAGGGCTCTGGGCTACCCTGATGGTAACCTGCCCATGGCAGCTTAGGGGATTAATCCAGAGGCTGCTCAAGGTGTACAGGTAAACGGCATAGGCAGCAGAGAAGGGCAAGGCGACGAACAAGCAGGAAAGCACTTTGTTCTCCCAGCTGACACACGCTACCTGCCCACAACTACCTCTATCACCATGAAAATGCAGAAGAATTTGGTCCAGTCCAGAATTACCCAGACAACCCACAAGAGAGGGCCTGGGGAGATAAATTTAACCAATATTCCTGAAAAAGAATTCAAAGTAAAGGTCATAACCATGCTGATGGAACTGCAGAGAAACACGCATGAGCTAATGGATAAAGTTGGGAGGGAGAATACAGAAATAAAACAATCTCTGGAAGGACTTAAGAGAAGACTGGATGACATTCAAGAGGCAGTTAACGGAATAGAAATCAGAGAACAGGAACACAGAGAACCTGAAGCAGAGAGAGATAAAAGGATATCCAGGAATGAAACAATATTAAGACAACTGTGTGACCAATCCAAATGGAACAATCTCTGCATTATAGGGGTACCAGAAGAAGAAGAGAGAGAGAAAGGGATAGAAAGTGTCTTTGAAGAAATAATTGCTGAAAACTTCCCCAAACTGGGGGAGGAAATAGTCTCTCAGACCATGGAAGCCCACAGAACTCCCAACACAAGGGACTCAAGGCGGACAACACCAAGACATATAATAATTTAAATGGCAAAGATCAAAGACAAGGACAGAGTATTAAAGGCAGCCAGAGAGAGAAAAAAGGTCACCTACAAAGGAAAACCCATCAGGCTAACATCAGACTTCTCAACAGAAACCTTATAGGCCAGAAGAGAATGGCATGATATATTTAATGCAATGAAACAGAAGGGCCTTGAACCAAGAATATTGTATCCAGCACGATTATCATTCAAATATGAAGGAGGGATTAAACAATTCCCAGACAAGCAAAAGTAGAGGGAAAATGCCTCCCACAAGTGCCTTCTACAGGATATCTTACAGGGACTGCTCTAGATGCAAGCACTCCTAAGGCTAAATAGATGTCAACAGAGAAAATAAAATCACAACAAAGAAAGCAGACCAACCAAATACTAACTAAAGGCATAAAATAAAATCAACTACTCACAAAGGCAGTCAAAAGAAACACAAGAGTACAGAATAAAGCACCTAACATATAAAGAATGGAGGAGGAGGAATAAGAAGGGAGAGAAATAAAGGATCATCAGACGGTGTCTATAATAGCTTGATAAGAGAGTTAAGAAGCTACGCTTGAACCTTTGGTAACCACGAATCTAAAGCCTGCAATGGCAATAAGTACATATCTTTCAATAATCACCCTAAATGTAAATGGACTGAATGCACCAATCAAAAGACACAGAATAATAGAATGGATAAAAAAGCAAGACCCATCTATATGCTGCTTACAAGAAACTCACCTCAAACCCAAAGACATGCACAGACTAAAAGTCAAGGGATGGAAAAACATATTTCAGGCAAACAACAGTGAGAAGAAAGCAGGGGTTGCAGTACTAATATCAGACAAAATAGACTTCAAAACAAAGAAAGTAACAAGAGATAAAGAAGGCCACTACATAATGATAAAGGGCTCAGTCCAACAAGAGGATATAACCATTCTAAATATATATGCACCCAATACAGGAGCACCAGCATATGTGAAGCAAATACTAACAGAACTAAAGAGGGAAATAGACTGCAATGCATTCATTGTAGGAGACTTCAACACACCACTCACCCCAAAGGATAGATCCACCGGGCAGAAAATAAGTAAAGACACACAGGCACTGAACAACACACTAGAACAGATGGACCTAATAGACATCTATAGAACTCTACATCCAAAAGCAACAGGATATACATTCTTCTCAAGTGCACATGGAACATTCTCCAGAATAGACCACATACTAGCTCACAAAAAGAGCCTCAGTAAATTCCAAAATATTGAAATTCTACCAACCAATTTTTCAGACCACAAAGGTATGAAAGTAGAAATAAATTCTACAAAGAAAACAAAAAGGCTCACAAACACATGGAGGCTTAACAACATGCTACTAAATAATCAATGGATCAATGAACAAATCAAAATAGAGATCAAGGAATATATAGAAACAAATGACAACAACAACACTAAGCCCCAACTTCTGTGGGATGCAGCGAAAGCAGTCTTAAGAGGAAAGTATATAGCAATCCAGGCACACTTGAAGAAGGAAGAACAATCCCAAATGAATAGTCTAACATCACAATTATTAAAACTGGAAAAAGAAGAACAAATGAGGCCTAAAGTCAGCAG